CTTATTCATAATCCAACAGTAATGGAACTAAACCAAATCTGACACTTATATGAATCCACATCTAGTTACGAAACATATTACCTTGTCTTACATATTTTACTACATTGATCCTTGATTAGATATATAAAATATCCATTATTGTAAATACTTTGTTTTTCATACAGTAAATGTTGTTAAGAATTTTCTGTAGGTTTCAATCATAGTGGCTAAAAGTTATTATTCCTAAGCAGGTAAAAGATTTAATAATCACATGCATAAATTAATTATGTTTGTAAAAGAAGTTTACACCACCTTTTTTAGTAGAAATAAAAGAGCTTGTTATCTTGGCATTCATACAAAATTATTTCTAATAAGTACCACAGTTGTTGATTACTTACTTCACAAGTTCCAAGCTAATTTTTCCACGTTCCATCATGTCCACAAGTCGTCCTGGTGTTGCTACTAATAAATGGCAGCCTCTATCTAGGTCTTTCATTTGCTGTATAGGTTCAGCTCCCCCATAGACAACACAAGGTCTTACACGGGAACGGTACGCAAACTTGGATGCTTCGTCATAAATCTGACATGCCAATTCTCTTGTTGGTGATAGGACTAGAGCCAATGGATACTGTTTAATACGAGATGAGAACTTTTGTGGCTGTAAAAATAAATTAAAAAGTTGGCAGGACATTCTTTCTCTTTTTTAAAGAATTAAAATTGTGGAAATTAATCAAATGTTTCAAATATACTAGAATTTAAAAACAATAAATAACCAACATTCAGGTATAGAATTGTGGCCTTGCACACATTTCTCTTAATTTCACTTTTTTTCTATAGTACACATTAATTATAAACAGAAGGCTAAATTTAATATTATTTTTCAATTCAACCAAAACATACAAAAACATGAATGCCTTCATAGAATTTTGGTCATCTCCATGCTACAAATTTATCTAACCCAATACCTAAATATTTACTAGTAGTATCTAAAGGTAATGAGTTTAGAATTCCATGTTTTAGGATGTGATTTGATAAGTGTGTAAAAATTAAAAACAGCATATTTGTGAATGTGTGGAAGCTAAAGCAAATGTTACCTAATGTTAACATATACAAATGTCTGAGTTGTCAAGATCACAGAATTCACAAGCTATTTACAAAGGACATTATTTAAGCTTTCAAAATACAGTATATTGCCCTTGAAACTTCACAAGATGTGTAACACTACCAGCTGAACTTTTAAATTTAAATTACAAACTTCAAAATTTGCTTTCTAGGTAGCACTGGTGCAGTGATGTATAGAAATTATTAACATACCAGTCATTCTGCTAATGTGAAATTTATTATTTAACAGTCACATTTAACATCCAGTACATGCACGAGAGTAAGAGACTAAAAATTGCCATTGAATCATTAAATAAAATGGATATGCATACAATTAATTAAATAATTTTTAAACATCATAAAATAAAGTAACGTAAAGTTAATTCAAGGTTATTTGATGCACACTCAAAAGAAACAAACATAACTAAATTCTCTAAGGTTTAATTACATATATTTCATAAACCTACTTGAATAAAATGATATAATTAGTAGAATGGGGTTTTAATAAAGTTTTTACATGCAAACGGAAAATACCCTGCTGCATCATTAATGCAGTCAACTAATCCGCTCACAATGTCACTGCCTTTTACAATTGCCTTCAAAATTTAACTACTTTGTTATCAATGCATATAAATAAACTTGGCATCAAAATGTAGTTAATAAATCCTATTGTAATATCATACTAGTTTTTAGTTCTGAATTTTTAAAAGGAAATAATTCCATCCATCTCCTTTAGTATAAGAATCATGACACTTGTTCACTAGATCTTCCCCTTCTCTAATATATTTACCAACCTTCACTGAAGTATGGAATTGAAGGTAAGATACTTATTATAATATAGATATCACTACAACAAAATCTAATTTTTATAATCTTCATCCTTATTTGTTTATAGAGCCATACATTGTTTTGTTTTCTATGGTGGTTACAAGGTCGGTCAAACTGACCAAGTCTATATAGAGTTAGTGTAAAAAAAGAAGAAAAGAAATAAAATATAATGTTTTAATTTTTAAAGTTTGATATTTATTTAAGTGATTTTAGAGATTATGCAAATGAAATTTGAAAATTTTCAAATAAAGAAGAGTATTTTGATCTTAACATGAAAAACACTTTGCAGAAAATCTTTAGTAAAATCTGATTTTAGGTCTTATCTTTTCTATTTGCTAAGATATTGCTCATGTAATAAATCAAACATAGTGGCACCCCACTCACCTCCTTCCATTTTTGGAAATGCTTCCTTATAAACACTTATTTATCAGGCTTCCTAACTAAGCTGTATTTGGGTCTAAAAGATCTTATTTCTGATCGTAATATTGCCTTGATCATCACCTTTCAAGGTCTCGAAAGGTTATAATGGCATTATTCACGTAAATATTTTAGGAAAGCTTATAGAACTACATATTTCAAAATGAGTGCTTTCAATTGTTTGTAAACATGTGCTTAGGTAAAAAAAAAAGTATTTTTAAAACAGGAAGAGGTGGGTAGTGCCACTGTGGTGGATTTGCTAAATCATTAAGTACGGTAGTACTTAACAGTAGGGACTGTAATGAAACAAAATGGCAGCCATAAAAATCACCCATTTAAAACCAATTTTAAAATGTCTGAATATTAGCACTGACTATTTCACAGTGTCGACTGATCAAAACAAAAGCTTATTGTACTTATAATCTGCCTAAGTCACTATATACTTGTTTATGGAGTGAATCAAAATTTCACTCCATTTTCAGATTCAAGTATTTTCCTGCCTTTTGCTTCTACTTGTAGTTGATTTAATGCTGTTAAGTCTCTAATCTGGCTGTGACTAGGTATGAAAAGCAAAAATGGTGTAAAAATAAAAAATTTTTTGTTAAAATATAATTTAGTTTTTTTTGTTTCTAAGCCCAAAGCTATCCAATTGGTTTTGTGCAGTACCAATCACAATTACTGAAACCTGGTTTTAGTATTACAAGTCTTCAGACTTACTGCTGACCCACTGGGGGATAAAAACCTTGTGTGAACAAATAGTAAATCACTTACCTCCTTTTCAAAAGTGTTTTCTTGTTTATGTATACAAGTTTCTTATAAATAGTTTCACATCATAATGTTAATTTGTTTTCAGGAAATTTCCAACGTCTTTATTTTTAAAAATAATTCACAATAATGTTTTACTCATGAATATGGTAACTATGCAATTGGTGAACGTTTCACATAACTATGTCAGAAATTAGTGAACAAACAATTCCTAACTAAAATTAATATATAAATTACGAAAAGACAATTTATAATCATGAAAGAAATTTCCAGTAATTATAAAAACAAACATACTTCTGGCAAATCTTTTGGTGGTCCATTTTCATATATGTGATTTAGAATGGGAACCAAAAATGCTGCAGTTTTCCCAGAACCTGTTATATACAAAAAGAAAAGAAAAAAGTAATAATGTAATAATATTACAAAAAATTTTACAGAAATACCACATACAATCCTTACATAGTAATATTTTAGATTATATTTAATTATACAAACTAATAAAACATCTAGTCTTACTGGCTTCTCAGAAGTAATATATTTGTCTTTCTCTAAAAGAAATGACAATGCTCTTGATAACCTTGAAAAAAATATTCTCATCTATGAAAGAAATGGTTAAAAGATAAAGATACTTAGGATCTCTACCCTGAGGACTATTCAAACATAGATCAACCAGCAGCATAAATTAAAATGTTATGAGCTAAGAAAGCTTCAGTAACTATAACATATGCATCTAATAAAAATTTAACTTTTTCAACAAAAAGGAAACTTTAAACTTGTCACCCAGAAATTTTTTAAAAGGTAATCCTATAGACTTTTAAATATTATACACCATTAAAGAAAGGCAGACAGTTACAAACATTTAAATATCTAAAACTATATTTCTGAAAACTGTTGGTTGTTGTGGTTCTTTTAAGTTCCAAAAACTGCTCTTCAAGTTTTAAATTCCTTTAAGATATTGATAGCACAGAAACACAAAAAACATTAAAGATTTGAATCAAACTACCATACACATACGGACATCTTATTACAAGTTACTCTAGAACAGTGTCTCTCAATCATCAGTCACAAACTGGCAATGATCTATCACAACCTTACCAGTCTGCAGAATTTCACGAAAATAAACAAAATTGACAGAATATTCATAGGTAAATCATAATGGTTTTTTGTATTTGCACTTCGAATGTTCACAACAACTTAGAGAGGCAGCAAGCTGGTACCTGGTATGATAAAGGTTGCTCTAGAGTATACGTTATATAAAGATACGAAAATAAATAAAACTGACAGAATATTCATATGTAAATCATAATGGATTTTGTATTTGCAATCGAGTGTTCACAACAATTTAGGGAGTCAGCAAGCTGGTACTTGGTATTGTAAAGGTTGGAAAAGGCTGCTCTAGAGTATACGTTATATAAAGAGAAATTTTAAATTTTCTTCAAAATTGATTCTTTGTAACACTATCATGTCCTTAGAAATAGTACTTTCATATAATTTTAAACTTCTGTTAAATTGCATTTGGTTTATTGTTTACTTTAACTCTCTCTACATGGGTTCAGTCACATATAATAATAAAAAAAGTGGTGTGAGTAGTAATTTGTAGTTTTGTAAGGAAGTAACTACATGGAGCTCCTACAGAGGTGAACAGTGGAACCTAAAGGGAAGTTAAAGAAACTTTGGAATATATGATTCTCTGGTAATGTTTTTATGTTAAATATATGTTTGAATGCTATGGAAATTTTCTTCTATGACAAGACATCAGATATTATAAACTTGGTTATGTAGGCAACTTAGTATGGTAGGTGATGGCAAAATTTCCGAAAAAATGAGTTATGAAGATAGATATGTTAACAAACATCAATCATGTTGAAACTAACTGGACATATAAAAAAGAACTTTTGGATCGATTGTATAAAAAAACATTTTATGATGAAAGGGAGTATTTTTAATGTTTATTGTTAGTTTCACAATGTAAAATATTGTATGAGTTATTTTAGCCAAAACTAGATATTATTTAGTAAGTATGTTATAAGTTACATGTGGTTTGGTTGCGTATTTTCACTTTTAGAATGAAAACAAAACATATCAGTGACACTCCATCAGGTTGAAAAAGGATTAAAATATCAAACTACTGTTAAAACATTGATTCTGAGCCCAACAGACAATGGGCAGACTCTTTAACCCTTTCACCATGGGCATTCTTTACTGCACATGTCAAGAGGTTTTTAGTGAGTTGCATTCAAAATTTAATTACACTACTTTTTGTTTATGTTATACCAATTAATATAGCTCACAAGCAGTTCATGTAATGTAACGTAGTGTGATGGGAGCTGCATGTTCCCCAAGTGCTTTACAATTTATAATGGTGTGAATAGTAGTTAGACAAGGTTCAAAGGGCAATAAAATGACAAAATTTAAGTATAAATAGATATATTCTGTTACAATTTTAAAGCTACTTAGGATAAACAAGAAGAAAAAAAAAAAGGTAACTTAGATTTTGTTTTGGTCGTTTATGAGGTCGGTCAAATTGGCCAATCTTGTATAGTTAAGGTAGAGAAAATAACAGATGAAATGTAAAGTTTTACTGAAAAAAAACATTTGAAATGTATTTAGGAGGTTTCAGAGATTGAGCAAATGTAATTTGAGATTATGAGATGATTTTTTTTTTTGTAGTTAGGCATAAAGCTACACAATGGGCTATCTGTGCTCTGCCTACCATGAGTATTGAAACCCAGTCTCTAGTGTTGCAAATCTGCAGACATACTGCTGTGCCACTGGGGGCATTTGAGATGAAGAAAAGTAATTTTAATCTTAACATGAAAATCACTTTGCACTTGGACTAGTAAAAAAAAAAAGACTAGATATATTCATGGACAAAGCTTTATTGAAAATACTTCACTAGAAAATCTGATTCTTTGTGTGTAAAAAGACTTGTAATGTATACTGAAAGTCTGCCAAATTTTGTGTAGAAGCAAATACTATATTAAAAATTAGTGGTATCAAAACTATAATGAGTACAAAGTGGTCTCATGGTTGGTCCATTAGGATGTAAATAGTTTACAACCTGCTCTATCCATGGTATTTAAACTTTATCTGTAGCTATTTTCAAAACTGTGCTTTATTAGTAATTGTTCAGACTACATGTTATGACATCATAGAAACGATGGGAACAAGGTCCTGTAATAATAAGATCACAAACACACAGAAGGACAATTGCAATAGTAGCAAGTCAAAGCTAATTTTTACTTTCAAGAGATGACAATCTTCTAACAAATAAAAAAACGTGTGTTGAGTTAGGCAGAAAAATTCTAAACAAAATAAATGTGTGTGTGTTTTGTTTACAGGTATGATTCCTAAGAGCTATATAGAAATCCAAGATTGAACATTTAAAATTTTTTTCTTTGAGAATTATACTAAATAAATGAAACAAAATGTTAATTCTAAAATATTTTCAAGTTAAACATTGTTGAAACAGGTATACATTCAACACCTTTAAGGTGATCTGAATAAAATGTTATACATAATCTAAATAAAATCTTACCTGTTTGAGCACATGCCATTAGGTCCCTTTTTGCAAGAATAATTGGAATGGCATATTTCTGTACAGGTGTGGGCCTTGAGTAACGAGCTAATTCAATGTTATTACGAATAATTTCTGTCAAAGAACATTCATCAAACTGAAAAAGAAGTCAGCAGAGAGGTAAGGTAAGTAAACTATCATCAGCTCTATTATTCACTTCTTAAGAAGTTTCCAAAAATTATTTGACCTAAATATATTTTAACCTTTACTATTAATAGTTCAAAATAGTAGCTGAAATATTTTTAACACTGACCAGAAAAAATGCGAGTTAAAAAAAATACAGATGGGTGAAAGTGTTTGATTTATGAATAAGCCTTTTAGACAAAGCTTTTAAACTTTTTTTTTCTTTCAATATTAGTCAAGAAGGTCTCAGTGATGAAACTTCTCAGATACCATATATTTTGGTGTATCAGATGACCATTAAGAAAACAGGACAAGTTTCATAAAACAGCAAATGTATTGAACTACATTAAAAAAAAAAAAAAAAA